AGAAAATCTAAGGGGAAAAAAAAAAGGGCAAAGGACCTGAAGAGACATTTCTCCAAAGATTTACAAATGGGCAACAAGTGTATGAAAAGATTAATCAACATCTCTCATCATTAGAGGAATGTAAATCACAACCATGATGAGATAGCACCTCACAACCATGATGAGATAGCACCTCACACCCACTAGGATGGTCACTACTGAAAAAGCAAAAAATAACAAGTGTTGGCGAAGACATGGAGAAATTGGAGCCCTCGTGCACTGACGGTGGGAACGAGAAATGGTGCAGCTGTGGTGGAAGACAGCACGGAGTTCCTCAAAAGGCTGAAAACAGAAATACCACACGACCCAGCTATGCCACTTCTGGGTACACACCCGGAAGAATTGAAAGCAGGGTCCTGAAGAGATATGTGCACACACTGCAGCATTATTCACAATAGCCAAGAGGCGAAAACAGCTCAAATGTCCATCCACAGAGGAAAGGATAAACAAAATGTGGTATATGCATACAGTAGAATAGTATTCAGCCTTCAAAAAAAAAAAAGAAATCCTGGGGCGCCTGGGTGGCTCAGTCGTTAGGCATCTGCCTTCGGCTCGGGTCATGATCCCAGGGTCCTGGGATCGAGTCCTGCATCGGGCTCCTTGCTCGGCGGGGAACCTGCTTCTCCCTCTCTCTCTGCTCCTCTCCCCTCACTCGTGCTCTCTCTCTTTCTCAAATAAATAAATAAAATCTTAGGAAAAAAAAAAAAAGGAAATCCTGTCACATGCTGTAACACCAATAAACACAGAAGACACTACGCTAAGTGAAATAAGCCAGTCATGAAAGAACAAATACTGTACGTTCCCATTTGTATGAGATACCTGAACTAGTCAAAGTCATGGAAGCAGAAAGTAGAACTGTATTTGTCAAGGGCTGGGGATGGGTTAACGGGGAGTTGTTTGATGGGTCTCTAGTTTCAGTTACCAAGATAAAAATGTTCTGGGGCGGGGGGGCACCTGGGTGACTCAGTCGTTAAACGTCTGCCTTCGGCTCAGGCCATGGTCCCAGGGTCCTGGGATCGAGGCCCGCGTCGGGCTCCCTGCTCGGCGGGAAGCCTGCTTCTCCCTCTCCCACTCCCCCTGCTTGTGTTCCCTCTCTCACTGTCTGTCAAATCAATAAATAAAATCTTATTATTTTTTTTTTCAAGATTTTATTTATTTGACAGAGAGAGCACAAGCAGAGGGAGAGAGAGGGAGAAGCAGGCTCCCTGTTCAGCAAGGAGCCCGATGTGGGATTCAATCCCAAGACCCTGGGATCACGACCTGGGCCAAAGGCAGCCTCTCAACCGACTCAGCCACCCAGGCGTCCCATAAATAAATAAAATCTTAAAAAAAAAGTTCTAGGGATATGTTACACAACAAATGTGAACACAGTTAACACTACTGAAGTGTACACTTAAAAATGGTTAAGAGGATAATTTATGTTTTTTAACATAATTAAAATAAAAATATACTGGAACACACATACAAATTCAAATAACTGTAGTATTTTATAACTTCAGAAAAATTTTCTCTGTGAAAAATTAAAACCTCCTGAATTTCACAAGCTTAAGCTTTTTCCTGCCAGAAGACAGTTTTTTTTGAGAGAGAGGGTGTGGCAGGGCGGGGGG